GCTATACCTGCAGGATTAGTCTCTGTGGGTCCGTGTGACAGGTTAGTAAAATACGGGACAATCTTTCACAGGAAGTAAAGTGGCAAACTAATTACTTCAGTAGAGACAAAACACTCCAAGAACCTAACAGCTTCCATCCATTTTTCAAAGACTTTGTAGCCCACACTCAATTATCAACACCAACAGGCAGATTGTCTCACAGGATTTTACTCTATTGGCATTCATGTAAAAAAAGCTGAGAAATTAATTTTCTATCTGTACATGTGAGAGGTTTCCTACAATTTTTTCGGTATGACAATCACTTTTGGAAAGAGAAAGCAGACAGCGTGGCTCTGGACACATTTAAAGCTGAAGCAAGGGAAGCTTCAGCAAACAGAAAAAAGCAGGCTTCCTTTCTGTTTGCATATAGGCAGGCAATCCCCTGCCCCCCACCCCCCGTTCTGCTCAGGAAGCATTTGCATTTTCCTCCCGAAAATTCCACTACTGCAGCTCCATCCTGAGAAATTCACTGGACAAAAATTAGACAGCAGTACTTAGAATTTAAAAAAAAAAAAAAAAAAAAGGCACACATTAAAGCTACGACAGGCTGAGATCTCATATTTGTAAGAGCTACTCACGGTTTGCAACAGATTCTCACACAGCTTTTTAGCCGCTGCCAAACCTTCTGGCTTTGGGTGACTGAAAACATAAGAAAAAAAATTCCTTATGAGGTTATGTTTCTGCCACATTTGGGAGCTACTTCTTTCACCAGCAACCTGCTGTCAGATCTCCCTTTCAGGAGTGACCAGTCACCCCAATCGGACTCTAGCAGCTCTGCAGCTATTTAGCACAATTGTGAACAAAGGCGATGAGTATTTGTCTTCTACGTGAAAATTCAGGTTGGTCTAAATACCGCAAGAAATGAGCACAGAACACTGACTCGATTGCTCGACGCATCCTGTGTTCTGCCCTTGCAGCTCAACACTGCAACCCAAGCCCAAAGCGAACACAGCTGTACTGTGTTCCCCATAAAGCTACACCTTACGGCTCCGTATCGCTTTACACCCTATCGCCGTATGGTTGGTACCTTTATCACTTTACAGAGATCTCTATTACAGTAAAAGTCAGGTTCAAAACCTATTTCATTTGCATTAACTCAGTCAGAATTAAGAATTCCTGACACTGATTAAACATTAAGCTACATTCATGACTATTCTCTGGGATTTTTAATAAAAACAAGCAAACAAACAAAAAACCTCTTATACCTGATGTAGATGTACATGGGTTCAAAAGCTTCTCTGCCCGATGCCGGTTCTATGCAACCAGAGCCTTTCCCACGAAGAAAGACTTTGGCACCCGTTTCAATCTGAATGTGCTGCAAGTAGGAGCACCCAGGCCCTTCCACCTTCTCCTTCACGTTAAACGTAGGCACAGCGTGTTCCAGACCAACAAATAACTTGTCCTGAACATAATGCATCTGCAAACGGAACAGCAAAAGCTTGTTACTTCACTCTAGGAGTCAGGACGTTCGTTTCACTGGAAGCCAGAAATCTGATTTCTATGACGGTCAGAACAGTTCAGTGTCGGATGGCACAGTCAGCCCTTTGCTCTTCTGGAAGCAGGACTGCTCTCTCCATCCCTTTTCCTTTAGGAGGCTCCTGTCATCTGAGTCTCACTCTTCAGACTCAGTCTGATTAGTCCTCCGGTTTTCACAACATGCAAAGGGTTTTTTTATTTTTTGGTGGTGTGGGTTTTTTTGTTTTGGGTGGGTTTTTTGTGTTTGATTTTTTTTTTTTTTTTTAATAAACAACACATTCCACATATACTTTGTAATAGGTAAATCTTGTAGTCAGTGATATTCCATGAAATTCCCATAAATGAATAACTCACCCCAGACTGGAATGGAGGTTTTTGGCCAACTGCTGGAGACAACTGGGTGATAGGGGCTGGCTGGTGATAGACAGTAACTGTAGCTCCGTTGAACGTCGGGCTTGAACCTGTGGCTGCTTTCACTACGCCGTTAGTAATTATTTCTTTAATTCGGTTAACAGCTCCTAGTTGACGAACACAAAATTCATTTCTATTTCAGCCCTTGTCAACTACCCAGATTAACCGCACCGCCAGATTACTAGGTTACTTTCGCACATTCTGAGACTGCAGATCTACAAGCAGAGAGATTGCGTCTGATGGTGGGGCCCAATATTGGCATTCAGGGACTGGATCACAAAGGATGGCGACAAGCGTCAGGGCTCTCTCTCCACTCCCACCCTGACAAAGCTCAGGCTAACATGTGCAGGTGGGCAGTTTTAGCCCACATCTTTTAGCAAATGCTCGAAATATTTATACTAACTCTGTACAGAATTTACATCTGCATGAACGAGCAAACTAACAGGTGAAGAATTGTTTACTGGCTGTTGAAATCAAGGCAGATACAAGTGGGCAGCTCCAAGTTTCAAGAGACAACCAAGGGCAAGCCCCTGAACTGACGCACAGAACAAACAAACAGTTTATAGATTTCCTTGTTTTCCAGCAGGCATAGGCAGGACAGGAGCTCTTTGTGCTTCTAATGGAAATGCAGATATTTCACAAAAAATGTTCATACTTGTCTATTAAAGGGAAGGTCTCCTTGTCACACACCTACTTTAATGGGACCTCAGCGTGCTATCAGCGAATAAACTCATACACAAGAGTTGTACCTGCCTCGGAGCCCTACCCACTCCCCTGCCTTCCTTGCGGTCTATCACAAGTTTTAGCTTCGTGACCAACGCAGGACACATCCCCTTAGGTAGCTTTGAGCACAGACCTTAACATCAACATTTAAATGAGGTCCATTGTCAACACCGAGATACTTGTGGTACAAACCCGTACCAGTCACAATAAACCCCTTAGTAAACCCCCCTTACCACAAATAATGGCAGAAAAAGCAGAAAGCTTTGTACACTTACTGTCAACTAATTCCCGTGTCTGACCCTGGACATGAAGATACAAAGGACGATCTCTGGAAAGGAAACGTCAAATATTCCATTAAACCCACAGAGCCCATGTAATAACTGGTTCAATCTAATTACATTACAGTCATCTCCACACATGAAGCCTTCCATAAAGATCTGAAACACTCTTCAAACAGGGAAGCAGATACATATTCACTGAATATCACAGTGCTCAGTAAGCAAAGGTTTGCACTGAAAACATTAAAGATTCAGAAGTTACTTCCATGCTGCCTTAATAAAGTTATACAACTGAAAACTTTAATTTGCTGGCCCACATGAAAGGTTAACTAACTAAAAGCACCCAGTCTCTAAAATACGAGCTCTCTTTGTAACTGGAAAGTTGCCCACTCTCGAGCCAAGAGATGCAGCATAGTGCTCAGTCAGAAGTTCAGCACAGTCTGATCCGTCATGTTTGTGGTTTGGTTGGTTGTTTTCTTTTTAATTTCACCCTATCAATACCAAGCAGGTAGGAAAGCAGCTACGCAGTCAGTACTACCATAACAGTAAACGTACTCGAAACACGCCATAGTCAACACACTCTGGCACCCAAAGGTGGCACTGCTCATGAAAACCAAACAACCCCCATCCACCAAGCCATCCAGCGAGGTAAAGAAGCAGAAACCCCCAAAAGAAATACAAACCCAGGTCCCACTTTTGCTTTCTCTTCTACAGTCATGAATCTCCCCCGAGTAGAAACAGCTGCTCCACTCAGCCGACTTATCTACAATTTAAAAAACCCAGTGACAAGTTTACCAATAACAAACCAAGCACACACAAAAACCCCGAAGCAGTTTAAGCTATGCTGTTGGATAAATAGACCAAAAGTCACTAATAAAGTGGTAAGAGCATGAATGGTACCCACTAAAGGACACTAGCCATGCCATCTTACCCATCACAGGACATTTTATTGAAAAACCAATAAACTGCCGAACAGTGTCTTAGAAAACACAAAGTTTTATAAAAAGAGGAAGCAAGCACTGAATATAGTTTATTACAACCTCTCTCAACCTTACAAAGAGGTGCCAACATGCTGCCAAGCCTAACAAAGCAGACGGATCCTGAACGTACCTCATCCTGAGTCTGTCCTCTCGTCAGCAGGTTTCTGCACGTGAGGGGGACGTCATTGATTTCTACCTCTGCCACCACAAGGTCATCTTTGCTTTTACTCGTAGACGGACCTTTTCCCAGAGCCTGCAGCTTCGAAGACAACCGTTGCAAAAGATCAGTGGTTGGAAAGCAGAAACAAGTGATGTAATCAACAAATTGACCCTAGCACTGTCGAGGTGAAGATCCTTTTCATTCTCTCCGTTCAGCTCTTGAACCCAAAAGCTTTACACATATTAGCAGAAAGCGCGTTACATCTACTACTCAATAATCTACCTCTTCACAACCTCGAGCCCAAATAAAAACACTATCATTATATCTTCAGCACATTTTAATACAAAAAGTAATTGCTGTTTCTGTTCTATAAATGAAGAAACAGACATAGAATTAAGCAGTAAAGTTGTTCAAACGGAAACCAAGGCATCTTACACTTGAATTGGCATCTCTGGCAGGAATCTGAGAGACTAATAAAACACGTAACTCGTACTTCTCCCAACTCCCCTCACAGAGACACAGAATTCAGAACTTTTGTTCAAGACCTAAACTCATCCACTCTACGACTACACTTTCCCCCACCTCCTTTCTTTAACACAAGGGCATCACGTTTCATGTCAGTGCTAGGAAAAAAAGCCACCGAGTCACAGATTCAGAAGCTATGGCAGAAGAGTTGGAGTTACAACAAAGACCTTATAGCTTTCCCCATGAAGAGAGAATTAGGTAGTACATTATTCTAAAAGTCCTGAAATCTTTCTGGGGACATCAACACAAAACAAGACTCTATAAGAAGAGAACCTTCCAGTATCATCCAACAGGTATCCATCCACTCGCATAAACATCACATGAAGCATGGCGCTTGCACGTGAGCCAGCAGGCAGCCAGAGCCCGTTGTACACGCATTCTATTTCTCTGTTCCTTCCACACTTTAAAAATAACCCTGTATATACATCAACCTGTAGGCTCCTTAATCTCCATTCGCTCACAGTCTGAAGCGAGGAGTTAATTACTCTGGAGACGTCACCACCAAACATTTCCTAACAAAAGCAACATACGCAACAAAAAAACAATCCCATTCGCAAATTCATCAATTGGTTCAGTGATTCCCACAGCAATACAATTTGTCACAGGATGCCAGGAAGCCACCAAAGCTTGTGGAAAAAAACATAGATGGAACACTGAGACATCACCATATCTTCCAGTTCTTAGGTGTCTCAAACCGCCCGTCAGCGAACAGACTTTCCCTCCATCCGGGATGACTACGGAAGCGACCTGAAATCAAGCCATGCGTTCTCCAATGCTGAAACTTTCACATCCTTAGGTGGATGTTAAGTATTGGGAAGCAGACACCATTGCGCAGTAAACAACATGGGACCAAAGAAGCACTCACTACTAAAACTCACATATTAAAAAGGCTGTAACGATCACTTTGGACACAGAACCTACAAAGAACCAATCTCGTGAATACGTGGCAGGGCACATTTGCCACTCTTTCTTATGTGATCTGTGAATAAATTCAATGACAAGATGAATACTCATTTTGATGCTGCCTCACAACCCTCAGAAGGTAACTGCCAGTCCCAACACTATGCATGTGAAAGAGAAGATACACTATGCCGTGAAAACACACTCTTCTTGTTAATTTATATTTGAACAAGTTTGGAAGGAAACTTGAAACAGCCTTCTAGACTCGGCTCTAACATAGGCTAACAACATGCAGAGAAGCACGACTGTTGCTGTCACTGACACTGGAAAACAGGCTTTAAGTTACAGTTGCTTTAGAACAGATCAGTTGGGTTGGAAGAGAGCTCAACGATTGTCTAGTCCAACTGCCTGATCACCTCACGGCTGACCAGAAGCTAACCAAATCATGTAGAACTTGGCCACACGGCTCCTACAGATAACTTGTTTAAGTATTAAAATACAAGACCAAATTGTTCTCAACTGTCTGTTTTATACAGCAGGTTTTACCACTTGGAAAATACTTCAGAAAAAAGTTTATCATCTTCCTGCAGATCGCTTTTGTTAAGCCTTGTGGAAGAGCAGCACGACTGACCTCACACCCATGCCACTGTTTTCTGTCACTCCGAAAAAAAATCTTTAAAAAAGTTTTCCCCACTGTTTCTTGTTATATCCTACTTCATGAAGCAATCCTCCATCAGTGTCCGTCTCATCGAGAGCTATTCCAGTGCGCCCAGGTGGCCAAGGCGGCCAACGGCATCCTGGCTTGGATCAGGAATGGGGTGGGCAGCGGGAGCAGGGCAGGGATCGGGCCCCTGTGCTCGGCGCTGGCCAGGCCGCCCCTCGAGTGCTGCGCTCAGCTCCGGGCCCCTCACCCCCAGCAGGACCTGGAGGGGCTGGGGCGGGGGCCGCGAAGGGCCACC